GCGAAGCAATGACGATCTTGGATCCGAATCCAACCAGCCGAGGGGCTCAATGTTGGATTATATTCCACTAAGCTGAAAGACGTACTCACTTACACTGAGCTTCCTTCAGCATATAAAGCAAGTGTACACATACACATTTCTTGAATCATGTTTTATGCATGTGAAAAGTAAAATACCACGTTTGAGAAAGCTACGAAACTGCAGGTCAACTAGGGGGACGGGGTATGAATGAAGCTTTTCAGAAAATTGCAGCTTATAACAGACACTAAGCTTCTACTCAACAGCGGGTTGACAACATCATCGTCGCGCATGAAGCTAACAGAGGATGGACTGCTGAAAACCGAAGATAACCAAATGGTAATTGGTCAACAGAACGTCAAGAAAGTGTCAGGAAAGCAACCGAGAAAAGCAACGCTGTTCCGATCCCTTGTGGAAGGCTTAGGGCAGAATGTGAAGGCGATTAGCCCTGGGACAAAAAGCCGTGGTTCAGCTGCGTACTGCACCGATGGAAGGAACGTCTGTGGCAGGTCCACCACAGATACGGTAATCGGTACGGTAATCCGGGAAACTGAACGTCCCAAAATTTGTCGCAGCCCTCAGTGACTACCTCACAAACACGTTTGCGAGTCCACGCACCTCAGCTAAGCTCTGTAAATCTGCTCTGAAAAAATGTACGCAGAGTTCATGTTTACTATCAAAGTTATGGCGGGCTAGTGATCTGAATTTGAGTTCACTTTGGAACTGTTCCGTCAACAACGTTTTAGATTTTATTGCACAAACAGTGCTGACCAGAGCAAAAACAGAGACTTCGTTTTAGATGAAGAGGCAGTCCCAGATATCCAGTCTGATAACTTCCTGATTGCTGTACTGTTGACCTGCAGTGGAAGTGAGCTTTGTCATGTGACCGCTTCTGTATGCAAGTCAGGGACTAAAGTCGATCTGTACCTTAGTGCTCGGAAGTCGAAGGTCACGAAGAGCCCAACCGGCACTGCTGACCTATGGGTAGAGTTATACGGTAAAACGATATAGGAGATTGGAACTGTACTAATTTGGGTATCTCTGTTGCACTCTCTCTAATGACGGGACTATCTAATTGCAACTGAACATGAGAATCACCCTTGCTTTCAGTCCTTCAAGGAACCTGCCAACACTGAGGCTGAGAAAGGGATATCTTTCCCCGCTATGTTGTGTCTGTTCCTTTCCCTGTTCTGGCTGATGGTATCGTATGTCTTCTCCAAACGGCCAAGAACGACGTATGAAGCGCTGATTTTCATGCAAAATGGCAGTTATTTCACCGAACGACATACCGAAGAGCTTGCTTAGTTTCCTGATAATGTCATGGCTTGTGACTGCGAGGGTCAAAAAATTGAGTTATTCAATCTTGGACTAACTTGTTGAATATAAAAGCTTCGTTTCACTAGTGAATTTCATAGATGACCAATAAAAACAATCTGCGTTCGAAGAAAAATTGTATTTTTCCCAATGCAATAACCGCTTCCTTATAGCAAAATGCTTGATAGGCTTTAAAACCTGGACCAGGTGTTCTGCTAAGGCGACAGACTGACGGAAATCACGACAACAACAGCGGCATCGGCAGATGCAACGAACAGATTCTGGAGCACTTTGGCAACAGACATCAGTTAACATATAATCAGGGTTTTGCGCGGGCTTTATGCTAATTATATTAGGATAATCAAATAATCCTATTCGTAATCGAAGTTCATTTGCCGCAGAAGCCTTTTATTCCATGGGCCAAAGTTGCCAATCAGAATGTTTGCAACCGGTGCTGAATCATCGTTCCGCTTGATTCTAATCAGGAGAGCCGATTAAAGAATCTTAACCTTCTTGGCTTCAGCTGCTATTTTAGCCATTGCCACCGTCAACCCTTCAGCGATTACTTATTTAATGAGATAGATATGTAAAGTTATGCAAAAGATTCACTTCAGTGGAAACCTCATAGCTGTTTGAAATGTGAGCATTTTTATTTTACGTGAGAGATCAGTTCTACGGTCTTGATGTTTCTCGCGGCATGGCTCCAAGTATAGATCGCATTGGAGAAATTTTCAAAGGTTTCAAACCATACTTGGCAGATTGGCATGGTGGCCCAGTTTCTACGACGTCGGCTTCGAACCCCGAAAGTGCCGGCTTAGATTCCCATGAAGAGCAATCTTTTTCTTAACGACGAATTTCTTTGAGTAAATAATTTACCACAAGTCGCTCAGATGGCAGAGGTCAGACTCAGAACAGGGAGGTGCTGGTTTCGAACCCCAGTCGAGTTATTGGTCTTTCTCCTTTCAGAGATAAGTGAATATCACTTTGTGTGGGCATTCAGCAGTAAAAAATATTATGCTCGCCTTATAACTGTAGACTCTGTCCTTAAAATAAGTCGTCCTGGCTGACGGTATAGAAGCAGTAATCAGCGCCGCCCCGTAAACTTCACTGTAAGAAAAGCGCAAGTGGCCCCTTTTCATAAAAATATAAAGATAGTCCAAGCTCAATTCTGGACCATAAGTGATCGAGCAAAAATCAACGTTGACAGCTTTGTATTAACAACAGTCAGGCTATTGTTCAGGCTTATACAATTGTCCCCGTTAAAGCATCTACTGACTTCAACGAGCAAAGATGTTCTTTTTGACAAAGATTGCCCTAGAGTGCTGCCAATCCATTTTACGCCTTTTTATGGCAGTTTTCGCATATTAGGGAATCTGCTTTAAATACCAAAGAATTTTCATCTGCCTCCTACCTCGTCCTAGCAACGCATTACTTTCCTATTTTACGTCAGCAATGTTCCAACTCGTAAGGTTGCACATGTGTCCTTCTTTCCGAATGGTGCTACAGTTATTGGCAGCTATTATAAAATTTATATTTCGGCATTTAGCTGCACATTGTCTCTGTCCTTTATGTAATGTCTGTTGCTGACTAACTGTTTTGTTCCTATGACTGCCGTTAGGCATCTGTGGGCGCCCTCTCATCCTCCACAATGAAGTAACCCATCACATTCGAGAATTGAGTTGTCAGTTCACATTTTTATGTTTTTTGCCCTCATGTACTCACAAGTGTCAACCATTTAGATTTACCCACAAAAAGCATAATGCCGAAGCATAAGCTTCGTCTCGCGCACGTTGTAAACAAAGCACTCAATGAAAGGCTGAAACTAAACGTTACCTGGATGACTTAGACAGGCTGGTAATTGGCGGTGAATCACGCCGGTCTCAATAAGCACGTCATTCCTCGTGGTTTCGAGTCTTTTCCTCCAATCATGGTCTTATCGGCTCCTATTATAATGTCCCCATCGTCGTGGTGTTTGACGGAGTGTCTTTCCACGATGATAGCGGTCGACGAACATCTCTAACCATCTCTCATTAAGGAGCCGAGCCACTGTAGCCTGGTCCATTGAAGCTTATTCCTTCAACTTCCTGTGAGAACTTCCTT